GTTCAAGAACATGGTCCATGCAATTAATACACATGGTCTCTATGGTATAGAAGTAATAAATTTGAAAGTTGGCAGCAAACGCGGCTTTCCCTTATCTTCTGTTTGATCACAAAAAAACGAAATTTCTGATATACTGGATCCTGTGTATGTAGGAGCCATTGTCAGTTATGGGTTTCGTGTTGGAGATTTCAAGTTGACAAGCTATTAGATCGGTCAGTAATTTAGAAGATTTGGTCTAGACAGGCTATAGTTTCTACAACAGGCCGTCCGTGTTTGTATTAGAGGAGAGTTGAGAATTTTTGGTGGCAACATCACTAAGCCCCATTGACTCATATGGGCTTCTCAGTATTCCATCACCTTATAGTGTGGCGACTACCAACAGACGGCTGAAGCTACTGACGTCTATCAATTTCCACACAGCAAAAGTCGATGTGATTTTTATGTGTGTGTATTCCCAAACAACAGGCAAGTTACAGTTTACCTCTTCAACTGCGGCTGGTCCACTGTCTTCTATATATAGACCAGAGTTGGATCAATTGTAATTTGTAATTGTAATTAATGTAATGCATTGCAGTTTTTCATGTAATTGAGGCATTTTCATTCTGTGTAATTGTAAATGTAATTGTTATTTGCTAAACTTTTGGCTCAATTACACTTTCAAAAACACCAGGGGTCACCAAACTACGGCGTCCTTTCTTCTGGCCCGCAATAACACGAAAAAGGGCAAAATATTTTTCCAAGGGGCGTTTTCCGAGAATCGACTTCCTTTTTTTATTTCGTAACATTAGCCAATCAGATGCGAAAAAGTGACGCAACAATATGCCTTTTCGCATCCGTTAAGACACTCGGACTGATTTTCAGTCGTGATTGTAAACAATACCTCATTTTGCGATTTTGAATGCTATTCGTTAGTTTTTAGTTGTGTTTCGGAAATTTAAGTACGAATCAAATAAGTCAATCATCATTTGCCTCCTTAGGAGTTGAAGTTTATTAGTAATAATCAAAAATTAGTCTAGGAATAGCTGTGTTAAAATAGGCTACATCCATGGGAACACTGGCTGCTTGGTTGGATTTTGTAAAATCTTGCTATGCGGAATTTTGAATTTTTTTGAGGGTAGCGGTAGCGTCAAGAGTAAGGACTGCTTCGCTCTGTGTAACGTGTAGATATATTCGAGCATTGCTATGTTGTAATCGTAAATGTAATTGTAATTTGTTATTTTTTGCAATTGTAATTGAACTCAATTTTTTGTAATTGCAATTGTAATTGAACTGAATTACTGCAATTCATCCAACTCTGATATAGACTAGGTGTGGCTACTTTATATGTTTAAATTTGCATTACCTAATCAGGGATGCATAGTGAATATTCAACGATAGCATCGATAAGGCTGCGTAATTATTAACCATTTTTTCTCCCTACTTCATATTGAACATCTCAATCTAATTCACAACGATTACATTTTTTAGGTATATGGTTGGCCAATACACTTGCAATTTAAAACATGGATATAAGGTATGCAATATTTTGTCCTCCGCTTTATTCAAATCAAAACACAGAAGTCTATCATAATCTACGAAATAAAGTGAGTTTAACTCAGATCAGAAAAGAAATGTATATTTACTATTACCAAAATATTCTTAAAAATTTGGCCTAAATCACATAATACCACGTCCGTGTTCAACTTGACTCGTGGTTGCATGCAGTACGCATCATTACTAGAAATCATTGACCCCGATGATGACATTTCCGTTGATTTCTGATTCTGTAAACCTCCTGTCTGGCATCTGGCCGTTTGCTGTTCTCAATTTGGATGCGTTATTAGTAGAATAGTTTTTGCAGTTGCAGATGTACTATAAAATTCTTTGCCTGGCTACCCAGTACCTCAGTACCTCAGACGCGATTGAATTGTTTTATTACTATTGACAATATCCGACCTTAAAATGTCGCAGCCAAAGTCATACGTTGGTATGAAAAAGCTAATGCTAGTTCTAAATTATTACATGATTGTCACGGCCATTCGTCGGAGTTGCCTTTAAAGTATGTCCTTATAAATTGTTTAAATTCGACAACAACTCATAGATTCTTGTGAAATATTTCGATCGCTTCTACCAGATAGCAACTGATATATTTTATTTTCCACTTGGAGCATATCTCACGTATAGGCAGGGTCGCCATCTACCCAGATCCAAAAAGAGGCACGGGCGTCAAAATGTTATTTTTCAAGGGGAGGGGTCTTAACAGCGGCATAAACGCAGAATAAGAATGAGATCATACACGAGTCTCCCACTTTTTATCATTAAAAGTCGCTTCGAACATGGTTGTACGCAGCTCCAAAATTGCAAAAAGCTATGGAAAGACTCGGAGTCACTGCCACACGCAATCTCTAAGACAAGGGTCGGCAACTTTTGTCGCTCCCGGGCCAAAACCAAGTGTTACGAATCTTGGCGGGGCGCACACATTTTTTCAAGAAAGTTAAAAACTGAACGGGTGGCTGATGAACCACATTATTTATACAGATTAGAAATTCAAATTTCGGACTTTGATAGCGAGCGAACACTGCGACAACTCGTGGATTCAAGTCGTCTTATTATACAAAATTACAAATAACATTTAATTGCGACACTAGGTGACACACTAGATAAAATCAAAATTTTCTAAATGTCTATCACTAATTCTAGTTCTCCGCAAGGAAAATTTCATTTCGGTTAAGTAATTGAAAACAAAAGCGATTTTTTTCATAAAGATTGGAAAACGAATTATTAATGAAGAACAAGAATAACATAATAACGATCCGTAGGTTTAAGTGAAGCACTGTGGGCCGGATTATTTTACTCCGTGTGCCGGATATGGCCCGCAGGTGGCCGACCTCTAATCTAAAGTCCTCATACTCCGGTTTCCCGCAATGCTTCTTGTGTTTTTATGGTAGTATTGTGGGCACCGATTCCTGTTTTCCACCTTTCTCGATGTCGCAATAGCAGTAGTTTATAGAAAATTTCTTTTCATGTTCGAAACAGAACTCATGGTTACGCTTACTCTAAATTGCAGTTTGTCCCTAAGCAGCAACTATTGTGTGTGTCACAGTTTGCCTGGAAATACCGCAAACCCACCGTTGACAGAAAAAGTTTTTCCCTCGTTTCCACGCAAGCTTTGTACGCAAAACAAGTATACTGTTCATCCACGTTTCTAAGACCAAATAAGCACGCAACTCAAAAATAAGCACTTCTCTTAGAACTAAGCACATCGTTACTTTATGAGATGCAGGCTAGAAAATAAGCATAAATCTTAGAAATAAGAACGGTATGGCAACCCTGTCCATAACAGAAAGATTTTTAGACTTATTTCGAGGTTGCGGTGCATTTTCATCAATTATTATTTGTGTGTTCAGCGCGAATTGATGTATATGGTAAATCCATTGATAACGTTCTTTTTGGGAACATGCCCTCGCTCGCTATTACCCACCTTAAATGAAGCGATATTGGCATGTTTTGTTCGTTTTGCGTGTTACGCCACAAAGTATGTAGTGCCACATTATAAAATACACACATAGCACGTTTCTTGTGTCTTTTTCCCCACGCCAAAACTTTTTCTACAAAAGTCATGAAAAAAAACACGGATTTGCATGTATAGGATTTCCCGTTTATAATGTCACGGCCATTATTCTCATGATTCCAAGAGTTTGCGAGCGGATTTCAAATAAAAAAAAGGTACTTTTTATTCGGGTTTCCATCGCCCTGCGGTGACTATTCATTCAGGGGATATAAGTAGTTTTTCATTAATTGTTACATGATCGAAAAAAAAACCTAGTCAGGTAATACGAATGGTGTTTAGTATCGGTAAGCCAGTGTTCCAGTGTTCCCAGTGTTCCCATGGATTTAGCCTATTTTATCACAGCTATTTCTAGACTAATTTTTGATTATTACTATTAAACTACAATTCCTAATGAGGCAAATGATGATTGACTTATTTGATTCGTACTTAAATTTCCGAAACACAACTAAAAACTAACGAATAGCATTCAAAATCGCAAAATGAGGTATTGTTTACAACCGCGACTGAAAATCTGTCTGAGTGTCTTAAGCGATGCGAAAAGACATATTGATACGTCACTTTTTCGCATCTGATTGGCTAATGTTATGAAATAAAAAAGGAAGGCGCCCCTTGGAAAAATATTTTTCCCTTTTTCGTGATATTGCGGGCCAGAAGAAAGGACGCCGTAGTTTGGTGACCTCTGGTGTAATTGAAAGTGTAATTAAGCCAAAATTTTAGCAAATTACAATTACAATTACACAGAATGAAAATGCCTCAATTACATTACAATTACATGAAAAACTGTAATTAATTACATCAATTAATTACAATTACAAATTACAATTAATCCAACTGTGGTCTATATATAGAAGACAGTGGACCAGCAGTTGAAGAGAAAAACTGTAATTTGGCGCTTCAAGTTGCCTGTTGTTTGGGAATACACACACACATAGAAATCACATTGACTTTTGCTGTGTGGAAATTGATAGACGTCAGCAGCTTCAGCCGTCTGTTGGTAGTCGCCGCACTGTAAGGTAGGGGAATACTAAAAAGCCCATATGGGTCAATGGGACTTAGTGATGTTGCCATCAAAGATGTCGCAACCTTTTCCAGGACGACCTGCTGTAGAAACTATCGCCTGTCTAGACCAAATCTTCTAAATTACTGACCGACCTGATAGCTTGTCAACGTAAAATCTTCAACATGAAACCCATAACTGACAATGGCTCCTATATACACAGGATCCAGCATTTCAGAAATTTTGTTTTTTGTGAACAAACAGAAGATAAGGGAAAATCGCGTTTTCCGACAATGTTTAAGTTTATTACTGCTATATTATAGCGACCATGCGCATAAAATGCATGGACTATGCTTGAACTTCTCATTATTATATAAGTCATCGTCTGTTCATGATAAGATAGTGCATAGAATACTTTTGAAACTTTGTCTTACGCCATACAATTCTGTACACTTTCAATGTTCATTATTTATTCATATTCTTGTGTATAAGTCGCAATAAAAAGTCTTGCGATATAGAATGGTTAACACAATGGTATCATACGCTGAACATTTCTTCGGGATTGAGATTGTCTGCAATTTCTGGGTAAAAATATAAATGCTAATAAAAAATAGGTTTCAGAGTTGTTCAGATTGAAGTCCAAATGTGAAAAGCAAGAAAGATGTTAAATGTCAAAAATTATATAAAAGAGTAATTGAACGTTTATATTTTACAGATAAATATTTGTTGATAAAGATTGGAATATATATATATATACATCATTTTATTAAACACAAACAAAAATTGCTCAATGCTTAATCAGTTCAATACCAACAATAAACCTTTTTAACTGTTTACCTTCTAAAGTTTTGCTGGACTTCGGGTTGTCGCCTTCAGGATGAAGACCGCCTTCTAAACAAAAAGTGTAAATAAAATATTGGAATTTTGTTAAAAATAAACACGCAAAATGTAAACTGAAATGGAAAAAAGTTTACTTTTTGTGCTCTTTAGTTATAATAAGTTTTTTTTTTCAATAATTACGAAATACTGAAGACCCTTCTGGATTATCTGTCTATTGTTGTGACACAAGACTCGGGTAGTTATACTGTAATGAGCAAAAGCTTGGCGAATAACCCCAAAGTGTCCAAATGTCGTTTTAAAGAGAAATAACGGTCTTAACAAATTTACCGTATAGAACAGTGGTTCTTAAAGTATGGGTCGCGACCCAAACATGGGTCGCGGAAGGTTTAAAAATGGGTCGCGACAAGGTCGTCAATGCAAGGGCAATCTAAGAGGAGAAGGACGAATTTTCAGCTTTCCCAATGTTTCAATTTAGCTTCTAAACTCTGGTATTTAAAAATAATGAAATAAAAAATTTCATTCACGGAAAGAACTGTCTTGAGCTCATTGTTACATCACAATTCTGATATGCCAGTCACGTGTATTATTTTTATGGTATCGGTAACCATGCACGTCGCTTGTCGTTGTGTTGACCGGATGGAATGTCGTCTTAGTGGATTAAAATAACCAAAATTGGGTGTCTTTTTGGTAATGCAAATTGTAATAGACGACGCAATGAAAAAGCTCGCTTCTCGACATTAGATTATTCAATATCTAGAGAAAATGTGACTTCATCTCGAGGCACCATTTACCGCGAACGAAGCAGTGCGTGCACATGTGACGAGTAAAAAGTTGTATATTGCGAGAGATACCGAAGGCCAGCTAGGATGTCGTGTTTGCGACGGACAGCGGACGCCTTTTCTGCTACAATTCGCGACAAGGCACTTGTGCGAGCGAGGATATTTGGCACTGACGGTTATCAAAACTAAGCTCGCAATCGCTTCGATACCCGTGACAACTTGCGTATTGCGTTAAGTAAAATAGAGCTGTGTATTGAAGATATAATTAAAAAGGAAATTTCAGTTTCATCAATCTCACTGAGTCAATGGACTGTTTCTAATAAATAGTTGTCTGTATTTGAGTCAAACTGTACTAACATTAAAAACACATTTTGCGTTTTTTAGGATTGGGTCGCGAGTATTCATAAAACTCAGATTTGGGTCGCGCTCGAAAAAGTTTAAAAACCACTGGTATAGAAGCTACGCGAGGATGTGTCAATGAACTCTAGATGTAATGTACTTGGTCCAGGGAACAATTTTTAGTATGAAAATTATATTGACACTCAGTATAACATTGCAGTAATCGTTATTTCAATACACTATAAAATGTGGAAGTGCACAACAACAAAAGAAATTGTGATGAACACAACAAGAATTTGACAGCAAAATATTTCTTCAAATATAGTAATTTTTTTTTGTGGATCAGGAAATTCTAATTTTGGGAACGATTCATTTTCTAATGCTTCCCATAAAACCTTTGTTTTGAAGCATTTGGTTTCAAATTTCCATATCAGAACCTGTTTAGAAACGGAATCAAAAAATATATTTCAAATTGTGTGATTGTATTTTAACCTTTACGTCATAGATGTACATAAATAAATATATGACACTAATCCGGTTTTCTGGAATGATGTAAAATACTGCTGATAGTACCTCGTGATCCCAATACGTTGATATAACAAAAATGTAAAAGCCGTCACTTACGCACTACTGATATAGAAGACGTAATCATCGAAACAATGAAAACAACCATCAAGATCTTCTGAAAGATTGATGACATTTCACCTTTTCGAAGAGTGTTTTGGATAATATAGAAATGCAAAGCCTGGAAATAGGAAACAGAAACTATTAAACATTTATTGATAGCGATATACTTGGTAAAATTGCTTTGTTTCAATATTGCTTTGTTTTTAATATTGGCATAATTTTGGGTATATGTTTGTCAATTCTATTTGATATATTAAAATATTCACAAAAAATTTCATTCAAGTCCAAAGAAAAAATGATTTTTTAACGCGGTTTCGAACAAGGTCTAATATGTTTAGTAGAACGGAACGAAAAAGTAGATGCGAACAACAAAATCAACTTTACCTTGCAATGGTCTTTTTAGGTGTGATAGGTTGAAAACTGTCACCGTCGGATTTAACAACTTCTGCCACGTCGTCGTTTGTCAAATGATATGTTTCGCGTCAACGTCTGCGTATAATATAGCCATTCTATTTCCGGATTAAAACGATTCAACGAAACAAAGTTTATAAGTGTTACTGGCATTTTCACGGAACTCAACTGAACTAACGGTTCAAAACTCACACAGATGTTCATCAAATCTAAATATCATCTACGCATGATTCAAGACAAAAAGAAAAATATCGAGAAGAACTGCAAAACCAGATTGTTTTATCTTTTAAAATTTGTCGGCTTTCATTGTAATTTTTGAAAATATGTCTGATTTTTTTACATAGCATCTGGAGCAACTTCTTGATTTAAATCGCAAGAACACATGCTCCCACCTCACGTTTAAGCGAATTTTCTTGAGATCAACACACAAAAAATGAATCGTTGCTGCAGAGATCAGCGATGGACCACGTAGAAAGGCAAAAATATTATTAATATATACGCTCCTCGGACAACTTTAATCTTTGAAACAGGTCGCAATATTTTGAATTTTGACATTTAATTCAGTAATTCGTTGACTTCTGCATTTCCTTGAATCGATATCTGAAATAATTCACCACCAGATCTTTTCCCTTTAATAGCGTGGGAATTCCAAAATGATACGAATTGAAGTATGTAATTGTCCGGATGAAGCAGACATGTAATTAAGCCAAGCAAATTTAATTATCAGAGGTATGATACCAAACTTAGAATCACTTTTCTCGTCTGAGTTGATCGGCTTAGTCTTTTTCATCAACAATAATGAAACGCATATTATAAATTGCATCGCACATTTATTTTAAATGTGTAAAGGATTGACAGTTGTGCAGCGATCCGCAAATTTTTCGTTTTGTTCATTGCATTAGGAGCAATTCCTCGATATAAAACATGGACTTGTTTTTTATTAGTAATTTGTCTGGAATGCTTCACGTTTATAATTTTGGGTTGTCTTATAAGGGAGAAAAAATACGTATCCGATATAAAGTTCAACTATTATTCAATTTTATTCAATCTCTTATTATTGCGCCACAATTAATTTTGGACTTGACGTCAGTTCCATTAACTTTGTATTCGTGTACATTCGCACCCAGGAACATTTGAACCCGATTATATTACAGCCACAGCCATTGGCAACCACATACATATGCACCGATTAACATTTTACGCATAGATGTTTGCACCAGGGTGGGACAAAAATTTATTTTATCATTAAGAGTTTAATATGCCTCACATTGTGTATTTAAACCTGCCTACATTTTCAATAGTAAACATTTACAACCATATACACCTTTCCTCACAGTGATCGAGGTTTTATCGCCATTGGCTGCCAAGTGATGGAAATCCAATTTATGGCAACCTTGGACCACCCTGGTATAACGTGTACTGAATGCAAACGCATTGCAAACTCATGCGGCGATTAATTTGAATTTCCATCCCTTGACTGAACTACATTTGCCGTATTTCGTTGAAAAAAATGGACCAACAACGACAAAGTGGAATAGGATTATTAATTGCAATGACTGTAAAAATCCTTGCAAACGTAACAAAAATTACACTTACAATTCGATATCTTTTTTGATTTCATTAGACAAGTATTTGCAAGTGGGTGCGACGACATGGGTGCAAACTTTATCTATGCGTTGAATGCGCTATATGGGTGCAAATGTACGTACAAATTAAAATGGGTGCTAATTTCTGTGTTGCAAATGTAGCAATTAGCACGCTCTATCCATTCTTGAGACAATTGTTCTTGAGTCTAGACTCTAGACAATCGGAAAGATATATTCTGTCTTCTTCTTAGAAGACACCACAAATGTAAAAACGTGAAGCATCCCAGACAAAACAACACAAGAAGTTCGTGTTCAGTTGAAGGTTGAGGTTCGACTCATATCATATGTTTAATTTTCGACAAAATTTTCCCTTAAGTCTGTTAAAAGCCACTCCTAATGTTCTGATATATACATACATATACGTATCGTTATACACGCCATAATAATTTGTAGCATTTTCAACAATAATTTATTGCTTAGATCATAAATTTATTGTATTAATATTTACCGTGTGCTTAGAATGATTTGTATGCGTTGATGTCGTGTGTATGGCTCTTGGATAAACATTTTACAAGTTTACCCGTTGGCAAATCATAAATCTTTAAAAAAATTTGTGTTCAATATATATAATCCGGCCATATGTTTCAATAAACAACACCAACACTGGAACTAAGACTTTCCATCAAATACTATTTCTTGCTCATTGACGTTTTCTGCATTTTCTACAACAAAAAGGATGATTGAATTTAACCTTCAGACGCTTATCGCTTGGGATGCCATGATCAGGATTTATTTCACGAATTGTTACTGAACTCTATATAGAATTTACCTCGGAAAGTCTGCGCAGATTCCGGCTGTCACCTTCAGGGTGGATGCAAGATTAAAATATCGTAGGTAACTGATTTATGGAGCTTCGTTATTCAGTATTTTACTTGTGTAGTGCTTGTACATAATAAGTTCAATGGTAACAAATGAGGAACTTACGAACTTCGGGAATAAATGATTCAATTATTGAAACCATAAGGACGATCATAAAAATTTATCCATTTCAATAATTGTTGCGGCCCGCAAGATCATTTTATTCGATATTACCGGTGCGTCGGGATACGAAGGTTGAGAACCACATGTCCGAAAAACAAGTTTCAGAATCATAGACTAAGGTGGTAGTGAAAATTGAAACCCTTCAAAATTGAGTACCTTTTCTAAGTTTTGTGGGCTAGATGGCCTGGCGGTAAAAGTTTTGAACAAGCTTCTGTTGGCATCACAGGTTACACATTTCTATTTCAAATTCCAAGCCCACCATTCCACCCAGAGGGAAATTGGATAAACAAATTCAAACCGTAACAATTCTGGTACTGGCTGTTCAAAGCCACTTTTCGAGCAAAAGTTGTACATACACATCGTATATAAAATAGCACGAATTAATACTCAGCAGGGAAATCCGATTACTTTGCAAAAACAAAAAAATACCAACTTTTTATTCCCAATTTGAGTCATGAACCCAGTTACATCATATAAGGCAATTTACCTTAAATCAGAAGAACATAAAAAAACATCCATCCTATAACAAAGTTTATAGATAATTTGATAATTATTGTTTTATTAAAATTTCAAGATTCAGACATAATGGCCTATGGCAGCGGTTGCCAAGAGAGGGACACAGAGCAGTTTAAGAGAGGGGAGGGGGGAGCACAAGGCTCGGCACAAAACTGATATTCGCTTTCCATTATCAAGAAAATATAATCCTATATTTTCAGTGCTTGATAAGGATATTTCACAAGGTGTTTCCACTTTGTCAAGCATGAATTATTCGAAAATAATGCAATTATGAATACACTATTCAAAATAGAAATAGAAATTCCACTGGAAACAAAGGTACATGTGTGCTAAAAACCAACGGAAGGGGGAAACTAACCATGAAAGGTTGGGAACCACTGGCCTAGTGGTTGCAACGATGGATCTGATTATGTAGGTTTCGCAGGGTAAAGACCCAAGCACCTCACAGGTTGTATATTTTTGATGGAATTAAATATCTATGTGCATAAGTATACCAATTTTAGCACAAATGAATATTACATTTAGGATTACATTTCATGGAATCATATGACCAAATAAAAATATGATGACATGTCGTATTTGGCCGATTTAAATGTTTTGAGCAGAGGAATGACGTTTCTATCTAGTATCCATCGGGACCAATACATTTAAACATTTCTTGCACTCTCTATCTAATAGTTTCTCATATATAATATATCTTATGCCTAGGGCTAAAAAAATCGATAAAACAGCTTATTTCAAATCTCACGAACAAGTTATTTATCTCGATCCAAAGCTCCTGACAAGACGTCTTCTCCTAAATGATGTAAATCTTCAACATGCTCCCGTATTGTAAACTAGAGGACTATTACATTCAAATCTATTCATTTAATGCGTTAAAAATTACCTTACATTGGCATTTTCGAGTAACTCGTTTATACAACACTGAAAATGAATCAGATTTTATGTCGTATTTCCAGTTAAATATTCAAATTTTCTTCAAAATCTTCAAAAGCAATCTGTCTGAAATTGTTTCCGTTTTCATCATGATTCTACGTATTTTTTTTTTACATATTAAAATCTTGTCAGCCAATATTGTGTATGGCGAATATATGGATGTAGAAAAATTTCAAATGAAATAATGTATGGATCATTCATGTACGCTGAGGTAGGATAAATATAGGTCCATACAGCACTTCAACTTTTAAAAGAGACATAGATGCATTTTTTATTTCATTTCATCTATCTATTTTTTAGAACATGGAGGACAAGTATGGTTGATTATATTTATAGGTATGATATAATATGACCATGAATTATACGGTTTAAAAATATATATATATATGTATTTATATAAACCAACACTGTGTACTTGACTTGATGTACGCAAGTGTTTTTTTTACGTTTGTAAGCTTTGACAAAATCCTGGAAAATGATGAATTTAAAAAAAAAATAGTCAGCTAAAATCAGCTACCTAGATAAATTATATTATTCAGGAAAAAGTGAAAATTGTGGTGATAATGTATGCGCACTCCGTCGAATGTCTGAGGTAGTGAACCCCCACTAAGTGTTGTATACGAGACAAAACACGGTGCTTATCATCTATTAAAGAATTAAGTTTTGCAATGTTACCAGACAAACTTACAGCCGTTACCTCGTGATCAGCAGTTAAAGATGAACATCTCAGGATCTCTGTGAACCCTCTTTAACTGAGGTAATTACTGTGTGATACGACCATATGGTCTTCAAATTCCACTCTCACCTTATACTCTTTTATGTTGAAGATTTACAAGATCACACGTAACAGAAAAAATAAATTCGAAGATTTAGTAAAAATATATCTAACATTATATATATTTTGATTAGTTATGCTAATTTAGATTAACCTATTTCGGTTCTAGCCAACGCCAATATACAAAATACATATGTAAATATTTGTAGTAAT